ATAAATTATGTATTTTATTCTTTTCCAACAATTCCAAATTCAAAAGAAACAAAATGCCATTTTGCTAATAATTCTTAATAAGACAAATCTTTTCTTAAACTGATTTTGTCATGATTTGCTCCAGATACATATTATGGAAATGGCATTCTATAATGATGAGATATTATATCATATCCACAATTATTACTGTTTGATAAATCTAAGTTTGCTACAATTTTTAATCATTCATCTCCAATATAAGTTTCATCTTAATAATTCTTAAAAATTGTTAATCTAACTAATAAATACTATTTTAATGAATAAGCATTATAAATATAATATTTAGCCCAACCAAAAATACTAAATTTTCTCCCAAATTAATCAAATTCAAACTCTTTTTAAAGTAACCCATCAAAATCGAGAACATCAGGAATTAAACTGATTTTTTATTCATATTCATAAATTTTTAATTCATTAATTCTTAAATTATATATGTCTACAAATTTTGAATCTGAATAATGTATAAACAATTTCGATAATCTTCCTCTAAATACTCCTAAATAAATTTGATTAAGCTAAAATAAGTAAATATTGAAATACAGTTCCTGTTCCTCCAATACAAAATTATAAATTATTTAAACTTTACACTAGATTATATTCAAATAAAATCTCTTTGGCTCCACCTGAAGCTTGATAAACTATTTTTAATTAATCTAGAGTTATTAAATGTAATATCCATATTCCCTCATATTCATTTGGATCATAAATAAAATCAACAACTTAGGTATTATTAATTTACATTTAATGAATTACATAATTCGAAGTTATTACATCTGTATACATAAATAAAAACACCTAATTATCCGATGAATTTCTTATTAAAAATAAAAACTATTGTTCCCTTACATCCCAATATAATTATTCTCCTTCAATCACCTACAATGTAGGATATGTTATAAGTTCCTATTATGGCATACAAAAACTCCAAAATTCAAATTGAATAGGGTAATTTATGTTTTATACTTACGTTATTTCTATTGGATATAAATTACTAATTAATAGTGCTTCATTGAATTATTAGCAATAACCTAAACACAAAATTGTAGCCATATACAAAAATAACTTTTAAATCTCTATCTCTTTCATCATAGCCAATTATTTAATATTAATATTATCAATATATAATTCATTTTCAGCTTATAAACTCAAATATTAATTTAAACTTAAGATATTTCTAGAAATTATTTTATATTAATAGTTAATAATCTCAAGTTTAATAATTTCCAATAAACAATCAACATTATTATTCATTATTGATTTTAACATGGTATTTTGATCTTCTATCACCATCAATACTCTAAGCTCTATACTACAAATATTAAATATAGTAACTACAAAACTTATATATAAATTGAACCAAAAACATTGACTGTGTTTAATTTATATCTGTCTGATTTTGAGTCCCATTATACTAATGTTGTTATTTTAATATCTAATATCTAACTATATTAAAATATCATTATATCCAGTTGATCATCTCAATAAGAAAACAATAGGATAAAAAATCTTTTCTTATTAGTATTAATTTCTTGATATTGTAATCCAAAATATCATTCTAATGCCCAAATACTGTTTTTTAACTCATCTAATTCAAATTATTAAATTTTATATGGATCATCTAGTTTTTCTTTCTCTTAATACCTATATTATATTAACTAAAAAATAGTATCTTTTTTAACAGAATGTAAAACTTAAAAGTTTTCTTCTTAAGATGTAAAAACATGATTTAAAGTAAGTAATACAATTTATATTGAATTATTAAATGGAATCAATTATATATATTTATTGTATAAATCATTGAATAAATTTTCTAAATTAAATTCTTTGAGCTTCCTGAATCAGTATTAGAGCTAATAAGATCATAAAATAACCTCATGTATGCTGATTCAATTAATTAATTTTATGTTTGGCCACAAAATTCTTATAAGAATATAATAATTAATTATACTTCCTACTTAAAAGTTTATAATATATTTCATGACTCTTATTCCTATCCTTCAACTTTATAATATGACCTTATAATTTAAACTAATTAAAGATCGCGGATCCACTCTCGAATTTTATATATAATCCAAATTAAAAATAATATGCACATTAAATTTAGCAACATGAAAAATATTTATTTCATTTATCATATCTATTATAATATTTATTATAAAAATTTTTAAATATTGCATTTATTATTAATTATCATGTCATAATATGTATTATTTTATTTAGGATTTTTGCTAGATATAATCCTTAAAATTTGAAAAAAATTATATTAATATGACAATTTACATTTTACCTCAATTAAAGTATTACACAATAACACTTAGTTAATATCATAAATGAGGCATTCAATATAAATTATTAGGATTTCAAAAAAAAAAAATGTAAAATTAGAACAATGAATCAAAATTATTAATATTAAAAATAAATTTTATTTCATTGAATTATTTTTGAAATTCAAAAGTTTGAAAATAAAAAATTAAATAAAATTTTATACAAACAAAATGGGATGAAAAATTTTTAAAGACTTGAAAAATAGATTTTTTTGATGTTCATATTCCTCTTCTAACTTATGGCAAATTAAACATTTAATTCTATCTATTCTATTAGGAAGATTAATTTAGCATAATTATTTAAGGGAGTAATGATTTGAATGTCCAACTGCAAATTCGAAATAAAAACGATAAGTTAAATTTAATTTTCATTTTCTGAACCTTTAAATATAAAACGAACTTTAAGATTTAATAAACCACACATAATCTCTCCACTTTGATATACAATGATAAATTTAACTATAGTAAGAACGAAAGAATATTTATCCAAGTTTCTTATTTTTGTTGACTATTAGATTAAGATAATTAATTAAGTCACTAGAGAGTTAGAGATATATTAAAAGGAGGAATCATTCGTTAAATTGCATTTGATAGAATATCGATTGGTAGATACTAAAAAATTTTATACTCAAAATTTACCCCAATCCCTTTATTTAATTGCTTCTTTTTCGATTGAATCATTTCAAAGCAAGTGTTTTATAAAATAATTGGATAGATGAAGATATCTTTAAATTTTAATCATTAATATTTAGTAATATATGATTTTTATTGTAATTTGAAAAGTGATTCTTAAAGTTCTTATATTTGAATAATTATATTATTATAAATAGACTGAAGCTATAAAACATTTCACTAATTAATTAACAGATAATTTATAATCATATTTCTATTTGAATTTTTTGCTTTCTTTGTTTCTTAAGAATTTATTATGTATAGTTATTAGGCCTTTCACTTAAATTCTTCTGCTTGAACCTCAAAATTTCAAAAAATATTTTTATTTTCTGAGAATTGTAAAGCGTAGGTTGTTTTCTATTCAATTTAATATAAAAATTATAATTTTATAAATACTTATTTTGAATAAATCTTTAATTGACTGTCATATTTTATTATTTTAAGCTTTAAATTAGAAGATATCTTCTTGAAAACATTTTAAGTAATGATTATCCTTATAATCTTTGGATTTGTAATCCTGAAGTTTCTCATTCAAATAGTTAATAAAAAAAAATAGAATAATAGAATTTTTTAACACATAATTCAGTATTGTTATATATATCTCATCATTAAGTTAGTTTATTTTCAATTAAACTAAACTCGAACTACTTGCTATAGAGAAATTTTATCAAATTATAAAAAAGAAAATTTTACTCAAATAAAGACTAAATTATAATATTATATATTTGAAATAAAGAATTTAATTACATAAGATTGATTGATTGATTTTTGGGATATTTTGAAGATTTAAGACAAGAGAAAATTAATCCAATAATCTCAATTCTGAATGAATTATCCATATAACTTCAATTATTTTAATGGGAATTTTTTTTTTTTTGTAAGATAATTATTATACAAAACTAAAGTAATTACTATCATAGGATATATGTTTGAAAGTAGAGATTAATTTATAAGAGAAATATCTTAGAGAAAGATATGGGAAATGTGCAATGGAAGTTTGTAGAAATGTTGAATTCAAGTTGATGGATAGAAATAAAGTCTTAATTGATAGAGCTTCTATTTGTAAAAGTTTTTTTTTTTAAAAGATTATGTAAAAAGTGTCCATAAAGATCGAATCAAATTAGTAATTAATGAGAAGATGCTTAATAACTTCTTTTCTGTAAATTAACAGAATGAATTTTGTGTATTTTTTATGAGCTTATTATGAATTTTATCATGAGATTGTTTCTTTATGAATTATGTAATAACAATAATTTAATTTCAGAAAAATCAAAACTATATGCTAATTAAAAAAAAATAAAAATTTTGAACTATATCAGGTGGCAAGAAAGTATAGGCCAACCTTATGTAAATGAAAGTAGTTAAATGGTTTAATTCCTAAATTAAAAACAAATAAAAAAGTTAAAAGTTATCGCTAACGAAAGTATAAAACAATCAGATGAAATGGAATGGAATAATTAATAGAATGCTGAGTAAAAGATAATATTAAACGATTTAGATCATTAAATAAAATGTAGATCATGAAGTTTCTTACAAGTATTAAGATGATTGTAATTGTTAATTAGAACTTTGTTAAGAAATATTAGTTGAAAATCTTGTGCTTTAATTTTAATATATTGTTTGCATTAAAAATCAATAAGTTTATTGAAGAATCTTCTATTAATATAATATTTATATTAAATAAATGAAAAAATTCTTTTTTTTATTGGTAGTTGCTAGAGTAATATATCCTTTCATATATTACGATACTGGATTAGCTAGAGATTTTGATTATACTTTTGAAGCAAGTTTTAATTGTAGGAATGGTCTAACGAAATCAGCTACTATCCCTTTTTCAGATACATTTGAAAAGATTCCTTAAGTATTTTTTACTCCTGAACATTTTGAACAAGAAATGCCTTAAGTGGGATTTTAAATTGTCAATAACAGCCATAACTTAAACATGTATATATTCGTTTTATTTAATTAATTTGTAGCTTTTACAGTAAATATATACTGTGTTTAATAAAGAGTGCATGCAATAAAAATGAGATGGTTTGCCTTAGATGACTAGCGTATTGAAGTTATAAGCAATTTTAATATGGATAATCCAGATGATAAACATTTTCTATTCAAAATCCAAATGCTCAAACTGGATTTGTAGCTCTCACTAGTATGCATTTTACAGGATAAATAGATTTCCTATTATCGGTAATAGTTTAATAACCTTTACTTAGATAAGTCAAATCACAACTAATTCAGTTACTGTGAGTATTACTAAAGTGGCATGAAAATTTACAAATCTGAAATAAATTGGATATTTTGTTGTTGTTGGAGTTGAAGAAGCCTTTATTAATTTAGGATTAAAGTCAGCAACAGGTGCCTTTAGTAGAGGAGACATTGCTTTATAATCTAATAGATGGTTTGCTCTTGCAACATAAGGTATAAATTATCCAAATACTAAAAATATGAGAATTAAAGCAACATTTACCTATACAGCTACAACTATGTCATATACTTGGGGCACATGTAATAATTATATCTCTATTTATAATAGGATTCGAAGTTGAAACTCCAAATAGCCATTCTTAGGTTTGGGTTGCATATTTATTTACAAAATCATATAAACCATTAGAATGTTTTACCATAAGAACAAGTAGAAAAGAAGTTTTAGATTTAACCTTATTACCTACATTTCATTTAGAACTAGTTTCATTAAATTAAATTTATACTACTAATGGAAACTATGATTATTTGATGGATAAATCAATTACACAA